TTCTAAATATATATTTTTTGTCACATATAATGCATATTTAGATAGTTAAATCGTCGACCTAGAACTACGCGAACGACTATTCGCCGAAACAGAGGTAGTATACTGTACGCAGTAGCGCCAGATATAGAAAGAGATTTAACATCCTGATCAATCTCCAGTTCCTAGTCTATTCTATTCTATTCAAATCAAATCAGATCAAGGGGCTGTTCCATGTTCGTTGAGGACGAGTGGGACGGAACACCGTGCTGTTTTTCCCGTGACGGTGGCCGGTGGGTGCAGTGCAGGCGTGCGGCGCAGGAGATACCCAGCCTAGCCAGGCGAGGACAACGTGGCCCTTTGGCGAGGCAGGACGGACGGGCCCACATGTGACCGTCGGCTGGCCCACTTGCCGCCACTGACATGCGGGGCCCAGCGGAGGGACAGCTAGGAGAGGACACAGGAGGACCAACCTCGGCGGCTCCGGCCGCTCTTTTGTTCCACGGTCGCCGTCGGTGGGTCGGGCGCGTTGTGATTCTTCGCTCCTCTGTCATCGCGTGGGGCCCCGTTTGATCTTCTGGTTAGAGAAGAAGGGTGGGGCCCGTTGCTAGATGGCGCACGTGGGGGAGCCTCCCGGCCGGGCTGCGCTGGGATGGCTGGCCCCCGCTCCGGGCTGGATGGTTGTTGTGTGCTTGTATTTTGGGTTAGGTGCGCTCCTTTGAGTAGAAAAAAAAATAGAATTGCGAACGAATTAAAGCCTTTGTGTTTTTGGAAAAACTAGTAATAATGTACGTGCAATGCACATTTATATTAGATAGGATATTAATTGTATGTTATATTAGGTAAGATATATCCGTTGCACGTTGGTATTTGGGAAGATATCAATTACTTTTTCACGGGAATCGTAGGATATTAATTACATGACAGATTTCAAAGAATAGCGTTGAGTCAAAACGTGTTTATAATCAATGTCAGTGGTGGGTAATTAGAGCGTTAAACATGTTTGGTGCTCAACATTGGAGCGATTTGAACCGCTAGATAACATGATTTGACAGTTGAGATGATTTGGATCTGCCCATTTTGAGTTTTTTTTTATATTGGTATAGATTATCGATCCATTCATGAAACATTAAGCTAGTACAAATAACACAATAAGCAGTGAGAATTGCATCCATATCCGTATACCACCGACGACTACAAATACTAGAGCGCGTCGCTGTCATCAACCATCCCTCATCGGACTCAGCTAAACCTTGTTGTGTTACACATTCGTTAAGTCATGGCACTAAGGCCTTAAAGGCCGATGAAGAGAAGCGTACATCGGAAGGATCCAACCAGAACACACACACGAACACGGACAAACGAAGACCGGAGACAACTAGATCCACCTAAAACAAACGCCGACCGCGAGATCTGCCAGGGACACACCTCCACACGCCCTCCGACGACGCTAGACGGACCATCGGGATGGGGGGGGGGCTTATTCCATCTTCAGAGAGCCGTTGTTGCCTCGTCTTTCTAAGCAGGACACAAACCCTGAACAACCTAAACGTGGGCGATGATTTCCTCCTCCCCATGAAAAACTCTCACGATATTAGAAGCATGATTGGTTTGATGCCAAAATTTGACATGCCAACATTTTGCAAATGCCATGGCTAGTGCTTGGTTGGTTACCATGTTTACTTGCCAATTTGGCAACTTTTGATATTGCCAAATGTTGGCTTGCCAAGTATTGGCAATACCAAATGTTGACATCAAAACCAGATATCCTCTAGGTTTCCTCCTCCTCCCGTCGGTCCGCCTCGCCTCTGATGGCCTCTAGGCCACGGAGGTGCGGAGGACCTCGGGCCCCTCGGACTGAAGGGACCATGCTTTGTGTGAGGTTCGATACCTTGGTTGGGGCGATGTGAAGGTGGCTACGCCCCCCCTGTAGGAATAGTGTCTTCCATGTTTGATCCCCGTTCCAATGGCGCGTCTAACGTCATCAAATGTGTGTGTGTGTGCGCGCGTGCGCGTTTCCTTCGAATCTCACGGGATTAATTGGGTGTCCATCTTCGGAGGGTTTGTTTGGATCCAAGCTTCATTCATGTGTTTGCAGGTTTGATCCTTCTGATTTATGACTCTCTTCATCGGTAATGGTTGATGCTCTGGTGGCGCTGGTCCTGTGGAGCCTTACCACAACTTCCCAATTGTGTACTACAACAAGCTTTGCTCGGCTTCCATGAGTGAGGAGTGATGACGACCGCGTGCCTTTGACAACTCCAGTCCTTATAGTCGTCAAGAGATGGTCTGAACCTGGTTGTAATTCTTGTTACCTCTAGTGTTCTCTATATTGTCATGATTGATTAGGAACAAATCGAAAGTTTTCCCCGCAAAAAGTAAAGTAAAAATAATAGAAATAATCAAGCTATGCAAATTGACCAGTCGAGTCAGATGTGGTATAGAAGGCAACCAACCAATGTATAAAATTGACCGATGAACGCCCAAAGTTGCCTAATGTTTAATATTGGTGGAACACGATAATTTCCCTCTTTATTTACGGGTTTGACTCTTGGATGATACTATTCTTTTTTCCCTTCTTCCTTATTCGTAAAAATGCCTATTTTTAAGGCGTGCACGATGATGATATCTTAGAAGTGTCATGTAGGATAAATATTAAGATGGAGGACAGGGAAACAATAAGAACAATGCATACGTTCTCTTAATTAAGAGATGATATCTTAGCAACTATATCACGCACCACATATTTAGGGAATCTAGTTATTAAAGATAAAACTAAAAAATAACCCATTGTACATAATTTTCCTCCTCCCCATGTGAAATGGCGGTGAGCTTGGGATAAAATTGTCTTATCAGCCACTATACATGCCCTCAGTGCACGCCATTAGCCCTAAAATCATATGTCGTGGAGAGAATTGCTATATGAGAGCCGCGGATAGCATTATAATTTAATCAGATCAGTTTTCCAAGCTAAATATGATCCTATCCAAGTTTTGTGGAGCTAAAGCTTGGCTACCCTAGTTTGACCAACAACCCTTGTCGCCGCGAAAACATAATCGCACACAAGGCTTCACATTTCTCTAGTGAACCCCTCCCATCGCTGTCCCCTTTGCGCTGCCCCTCTCCCTCTATATAAGCGTCTGCCTCGCTAGAATAAAATCCCCCATATCGTCGTTGCTGAAAATATGCCGTAGAGACAATAATAAAGTATTGTTTTTCCATGTTCGTAATTAATGTTTATATTTATGTGCTATAATTACAATGATTATTGAATGCAAGATCTAAGGGAAAACTCAGTTGCATGTTTGGAAACATAAACACCATATAGATCCCTAGTCCCGCCTCTAAGACTAGCACATGTATTGCACATTACCATGTTTTTGTGATCATCTGCATTATTAAAGTAGTAAGGATGTAATTAGTAATGAGAACACATTGTTGGTTGAACAATGGTCTTGGATAAACCCAAATTATGATATATTGAGAGATCTCATCATAACTTAGTCATCACTATTATCATATTATATGTTAACATTTACTCATGACCTTAAGCCACGAGAATATCATAAGCCTGCATACCAAATAGTTACATTGGGGGTTTCCAAACCTTGCCTTAACCGGGAGATCATAAATGTAGTTTACGAGTACACCGAAAAAACATGTCAAGGTTCCTGTGACTAGGAGATCATAAATGTAGATTTTGTCCTGGACGAAGTGTTGCTGAACACCTACTTTCATACGTGTGGATACCATGGAGGGGGCGTCTACTTCAAATCTTGATCGGTGAAAAAATTCTCATGGTTGGGAGCTATAACCTAGTTGCGGGAATCGATGAATCATCACCAACATCTTCTTCCTCGCTACTGTGTTGTTGTTGGTCAAATTGATCTAACATGTCATCTTCATAGTGTTTATGGGTGTGATTGTACGGTATGTTGTTGTTGTGTAGTATGGAAGAGGTAGGCAAATACGGATTGTGAGATAGAGGGAGAGGATCAGGGTGTGGCCAACGGCTGGGTCGGCACCATCTTAGCTTGATGTACTAGCCATGCGGTGGCAGCCCCGAAACGCAAGAGCTCTCGCCCATGTTGCTCGACGTCGTGGGCTAAGTAGTTCCAGGCGGCAGTGTCGAGTCCCTCAGTTGTTCACGTCTGTGACCTCGGGGAAGTTTTGTAGGAGGCACATCTTCTCTGCTGCTCACGAGATTGTGAGAGATGGGGTCGGCGACGCCGAATGCTTTGCGGTGACCAGATTGAGAGTGAGTAGGGTTAGGGGATCGATTGGTGTGTTTGGGAGAGAGAAGCGCGACTTGACGGGCTCTCGGCCGGTTTAATGCTTTTTTTCTTTCGGTGAAAACCCGAGGCAAGAGAGGACACGCTGAGAACCGATCGTGGCTCGGAGTAAGACAAGAGACAAAACCTTGCATTCTTTTTAAGTAGCAGAGATTATGAAACAACATTTTCTTCTTCATTTATTACCATGGCTTTTACTGAGCCTCTCTTATCCGTAACAAGAAGATCCAACTCTATTTCAAGGATGAGGCTGTTCTTACCCGCAAAAGAAGGCTGAGACTGTTCTCTCACCCCGTCTACCTTATCCGTAAAAAAACCCTATTTTTAGTGCTCGCAATTAGCCTAAAACATTTGTCTTGGAGAGAAATCCATATCTCAGCCGTGTGGCACAGGCCATCAGATTCAGTTTCCAGGATAAATCTGATCCTATCCGAGTTTTGACTAGGCAAGAGCTGGTTAACGGGCCAAGATTACACCGCCGTGGTCAACCGACGACCCTCGCCGCCGCACAAGGCTCCGCATTTCCCCCGTGATCCCCTCCCATCTCCCGATCTCCGGCCCCGTCCTGCCCCCGCTCCCTCTATATAACCGCCCGCCTCGCCACCTCACCGGAAGAAACCCCCCCTTCCATTCCTCCTCCCCTCCTTGTCCCCACCCTCTCTCTCCCTCTTCCTCTCCCTCCGTCCGTCTGCCCGTCCGCGCGCGCTCTGTGCGTTCTTGGGGAGGGGGGAAATGGCGGCGAAGCGCGAGCTGGTGGTCAGCTTCGGGGAGATGCTGATAGACTTCGTGCCGACGGTGGCCGGGGTGTCGCTGGCGGAGGCGCCGGCCTTCGTCAAGGCGCCCGGGGGCGCCCCCGCCAACGTCGCCATCGCCGTCGCGCGCCTCGGCGGCGCCGCCGCCTTCGTCGGCAAGCTCGGCGACGACGAGTTCGGCCGCATGCTCGCCGGCATCCTCCGCGACAACGGCGTCGACGCCGGCGGCGTCGTCTTCGACTCGGGCGCGCGCACCGCGCTCGCCTTCGTCACGCTCCGCGCCGACGGGGAGCGCGAGTTCATGTTCTACCGCAACCCCAGCGCCGACATGCTCCTCACCGCCGACGAGCTCAAGGTGGACGTCATCAAGAGGGTACGCTCCCGCCCCGAATCACCATCACACCACCTACTAGATTCTCTCCCTTCCGTGCGATTTCGTCATGCCGTTTCTTGCCCCGCCCCCCGACCGCGCGTGATCTGGGGGAACCAGCTCGATCCCGTCGACCGTAGTGGAGTGAATCTTCGCCCGGTTTCTTGGATCTGGACGCCGGCGCTAGGTTTCTTGTGCCGATTCGGTGCGCATTAGGTGGCGGCGGCTGGAATTTTCCCTTGTCCTGTTCCTGCACCTAATAAAGGTGTCCTTTTCGTTTCGTGTAATTCGGGTGCGCATGGGCGCTGAATCTTCCGTGGAATCCAGACATTCCTTGGCAAATAAGGCGCCTTTGGTGCTCGTCTTGGGCGGATCTTGTTGCGCCTTCTGGTTGGTACTTGTTCCTTTGCTGGATCTGATCATGCGATGCACCCTCACTGACGTGCATCAAATCGGGGGGTGGCAAAATAGCTAATCTTGGGATGGCCGTTATATATGAAACAAATCATTTTTGTGGTTCTTGGATCCATCGGCCGGCCTGAGCTGGCCGGCCAAGTATGATACATTACGAATCCGTGTGATGCACAATAATTTAGAGTGTCCGCTGGTGACAGATAGATCAGTTCTTGTCCTGGTTAGTAGAACTTATGAAAAATATTTGCATATTAGTATTAGGTGTTTTGTACTGTCAGACTGCCGTAATTTTAGAATTGTGCATGTCAGGTGAGCTTGGGTTCCTTTCTATGTAGTATAATTTTGTGACCCAGAACTGCCACATATCTGGTGGAGCTAGATGTTTCAACTTTTTTATTGGTAAATTTGTGCTCTGCATGCAGAATTTATAAGAAAGTGTTCCAACTCTAACCTAGTATCAATTTGCATTGCAGAGTCTGTACTGAACTGTTAATTTGTTGTTTTGTTGTGAATTTTTCTGTACTGCAATGTTTTATTTCTTTGAGGGAAAATGTCTCACAACTTGTGATGCACCCAGGCTGCAGTCTTCCACTATGGATCAATAAGCTTGATTGCCGAGCCTTGCCGGACAGCGCATCTGCACGCCATGAAGGTTGCCAAAGAGGCCGGCGCGCTTCTCTCGTATGACCCGAACCTGAGGGAGGCATTGTGGCCATCCCTTGAGGAGGCTCGCACCAAGATCTTGAGCATCTGGGACCAGGCAGACATTGTCAAGGTCAGCGAGGTCGAGCTCGAGTTTTTGACTGGCATCAACTCGGTGGAGGACGATGTCGCCATGAAGCTGTGGCGCCCTACCTTTAAGCTCATGCTTATCACTCTTGGAGATCAAGGATGCAAGTACTATACCAAGGTATGTCTGATGAAATCCATGTTTTGTTGCTATGTTCTAGAACTTATGCACAATTACCATTCAGACTTGAATGACTTAGTATGTAATTGACACTTGATCTTTGTTGCATTTGATTGTAGGATTTCCGTGGAGCTGTCCCATCCTACAAGGTACAGCAAGTCGATACGACAGGTGCTGGTGATGCATTTATTGGTTCTCTGCTCCGAAAAATTGTCCAGGATCCATCGGCATTGCAAGTAAGCTTGCCTGCAAACACCTCCATACTAGTTTCAATTTATATTTATATATACCTGTATAACCTTGGTGGTTGACTAATTCCATATCTGGTGGTTGCCGCAGGATAAGACAAAGCTTGAGGGGGCGATCAAATTTGCCAATGCATGTGGAGCAATCACCGCCACGAAGAAAGGGGCAATCCCTTCGTTGCCCAAGGAAGACGAGGTGTTGCGGCTGATGGAGAAGGCGTAGACGCGGCTTATGATTTCCAGTAGCTTCGAATTCTGCAAATTGTATTGTAAGCTGTTCTGGATCTCAGGAGCAAGGTGTACTCCTCCCAGGATACCCCTGCCTTTTTGTTTGCTCCCCTTTATGGAAGGGTTTTTGTTTTGGAATTCTTCTTATCTGAATAAGCAGGTCCTTCAATATTACCGTGTCATTTCTGTACCAAGTCCTTGATGGTAGTGTTCTTTTTTCCTTGTTCTGTCATGTTATTTGGGTTCCAACTGTATTGGGAATTTGTGGTGTAGCCCCTGAGGTGGTTTCTGTTCTCAATTTTTGACAAACGAAACGCATGTACAACGCTGATATGTGATTTTGCGAAAAGTGTTGTGATGCTCCTGGCAAGTAATATTTCAGCCGTGGCGGATGATATTTGAATCAACTGCTCTGAAATCTTGATAAGTAAATTCTGTTGATTGGCCGCATCTCTGTTCCATTTCTGAGCTTATTTTGGATGCTGCCAAAGGACGGTGCCCGCGACCTGGACCGTGGCCACGACCAAGGCGGCCGCGATGTCTATCGTCTCCGCGACGGGCGTGACATGGTGCAGCGGGACGCTGTGCCACAGCTGCTGCTTCGCGGCTCTGGCTCAAACAGTGCTGCAGTGACCCGCGAGGTGGAACAGCAGGTGCTGGCTCCTGTGCCTACGGCTGATGTCCTGGCTCCTGCCGACGCGAGGGGGCGCAGCCAGGTGCGTCAGCGCTCTCCCAGGGTTGGGCGCCGTCGGTCCATGGAGGACCTCAATCTGCAGCCGCCACTCTCTCCAACCTCGATGCTAAACGCATCGCTCCGTTCCAAGCGGGACTCAACCAGGGCATCTCTTCACGTGCTCGCTTCGGGCTGCCCGGACCTGATCGACTTCTGCTCTCCAAACGCCATGTTGCGCCCGCTCAACACGCCCTCTCCGTCGAGGCCGCCTGGCTTTGAGGCGTCTCCCACGCCTCCCCTGCTCTGCTTTGGACCACCTCGACGCACTCCCTCGCCGCCACGCGTCAGACAAAGCGCCGCTGTGCAGAAGATCCTTGAGGAGTTGCAGGAGCTCTTTGTGCCTGCCCAAGAGTCGCTGCTGCCTTCCCCTCCGCCCATCAGACCGTCGGCTCGCCGCAAGACTCTAGCGGGGATGGCCATCTGCAACAAAGGAGGCGGCATCTCACTCAGGCGCTCTAGTGCGCGACTAAGGGCAGATAGGCAGGCTCCGGTTGCCAAGAGAGTTGAGGCCCTCGTCTGCCGTAGCCTGGGCATTGTACAGAATGGTGAGGATATAACCGTGCAAGCTATGGACAACTTTGCCAAGAAATTCAAAGATCGTCTTCCTGATGACGTGATTGGAGCTATGAGGGCCGTATTCAAGCTGGATGATGACCGTATCTGTGCGGCCGAAGCTGGGCTCATAGCGCATGGTGGCCCCAATGCGCTCGATCACGTTGATGAGGCTACTGCCTGATGTCTGCTGCTGTCTTTGGGCTTTAGTTTCTCATGTTAGTGATAAAAACAAGGGGCGCTGGTGGAGCTTGCCTCCAGGTTGCATTTGTTCTTTGGTATGGCCTACTCAACAAGTCTCTTGGTGCTACGTTGATGTTTGCTGCTAGTTTAGCTGCTACAACAAGAGTTCTTCCTTGTCGTTGGTTAGCTGACGTTGTACATCCATGTACCTGCTGTTGCATATCTTTGGCCGCTGTGCCGTGTACTAGGGAGTATGTGTGTTAAAATGAGTGAACAACCTGTCAACTTTCTCAGTTGGAATGTTAGAGGGCTTAATTGCCCGGATCGACGCGCAACCGTCAACGAAACCATAGCCGCATCCTCCTGCCATATTGTTTGTTTGCAAGAAACAAAGCTGGAGCTTGTCGATCAGTTCACCGCCTCATTCCTTGGAGGGTCCAGACTTAAGAATTTTGCGCAAAGGCCGGCCAGCGGCACGAGAGGAGGGATACTTATGCTTTGGGACGGTCGAGTCGTCGATGTCACTGACATCACTACCACCACCTTCTGCCTTTCGGCTATGGTCCAAGTCAGGGCCTCCGGCTCCCGGTTCAAAATTACGTCCGTCTACGGGCCGACCCTCTCGTCCCTCAAAGAGGCCTTCTTCACCGACCTTGCAAGCCAAAAACCACCCAATGGGGAGTTATGGCTAGCTCTGGGTGATTTTAACCAGATTTACCGCGCACGAGACAAGAACAAGCGCAACGTCAATAGGAGGAGGATAAACCGTTTCCGCTCGACGCTCCACGAGTGTGATCTCAAGGAGATCCACCTCCAGAACAGGCGGTTCACTTGGAGCAACGAGAGAAATAGCCCAACCCTATGCAAGCTCGATTCCTTCTTCTGTAACGCCGAGTGGGACCTGCAGTTCAGTACACACATCTTGCATGCTCTGTCATCTTCGCTCTCAGACCATTGCCCTCTTCTTCTCGCGGACGACAGGGGGCCTCGCAGGCCTCGCTCATTCAAATTTGAGAATTTTTGGACTTCTCTTCCGGGGTTTAGCGATGTGGTTGCTAATGCATGGAATGAGCACACTCATCATACCGACCCCTTTCGGATATTGCACCACAAGCTTCAACACACTGGCGCCAAACTCTTGAGATGGAGTAAGGGCCTATTCTCAAAGGCCAAGATCATGCATCATGCTGCCTTGCTAGTAATTCTTCACCTGGACATGGCTCAAGACTCGAGGCACCTCTCCGTTGAGGAGCTGGAGCTCTGCTCTAGGCTTAAGCGGAGAGTCATTGCCTTGGCAGTTCTTGAGAGGGCGAGAAAAAAGCAATGTGCTAGGATTTCCAACCTCAAAGAGGGGGATGCAAACACCAAATTTTTCCACCGCCGAGTGAACGCTAGAAGACGCAAGAACCACATACACCGTATCAAGCACAACGGTGGATGGGTCACTGAGCACTCTCAAAAGAGGCTATTGTCCACGACTATTTCTCCTCGACCATGGGAAAAGGCTCCGCGGCGACCACAGACTTCAACTGGGAGGGGTTGGACATTGAGGCTCGTGATGATTTGGGCAACCTCGCGGACCCTTTCTCCGAGGAGGAGGTGCGTGAGGCCATCAACCAGATGCCTGGTGACAAGGCGCCCGGCCCGGATGGCTTCACCGGGCTTTTCTTCAAGAGTTGTTGGGCCATCATCAGGCATGATATTATGAAGGCCATCTTTTGCTTCGGTAACCTCCGCACGGCCAACCTTCATTGGGTCAACTCTGCCAACATTATACTGCTCCCAAAGAAGGATGGAGCTGAAGAAATCTCCGATTACCGTCCAATTAGTCTGATTCATGCTATTCCCAAGATCATTGCAAAGGTCCTTGCCATCCGTCTTAGCCACCACATGCTCCACCTTGTCTCCAACGTGCAGAGTGCTTTCATCAAGACAAGAAGCATCCATGACAATTTCATGTATGTGAGGAATCTTGCGCGGAGGCTCCACAAGTGCAAAACCCCTTCGCTTCTCTTCAAGTTGGACATTCGGAAGGCATTTGATTCAGTCAAGTGGGAGTATATCATTGACCTCCTCCACCGTAGGGGGTTCCCGAGCATTTTCAGAGATTGGATCACCGCCCTACTTTGCTCCTCTTCCTCGCGGATTCTTCTTAACGGCGTCGCTGGCAGCCCCATCATCCATGGCCAGGGTCTCCGGCAGGGGGACCCTATATCCCCCTTGCTATTTGTGCTCGCGATCGACCCACTCCAAAGAATTCTTGAGATGGCGGCAACTAGAGGGCTATTTCATAAAATCCGTGGCCGTGGGGTTCTTTTACGAACCTCCCTTTATGCGGACGACGCGGCGGTCTTCATGGCACCCATCAAGCGCGATATTGACCACCTCTCCAACATCCTTCGTCTTTTTGGTGATGTCACCGGTCTAGCCACCAACTTTCACAAGAGCTCGGTCATCCCAATCCGTTGTGGGCACATCAACCTGTCGGACATCCTTCAAAAGCTTCCGGCGGCGCGCGGATCCTTCCCCATGAAATACTTAGGCCTCCCGCTCTCTGTGTGGCGGCTCAGGAAGGTGGACTTTCAGTTCTTGGAGGATAAGGCGGCGGCAAAGTTGGTCCCTTGGGACGGGCAAAACATCACGTCTATGGGACGCACCGCCTTGGTCAAGTCGGTGCTTGCCTCCCAAGCCATATACTTCATCACTACGCTTGTCGTCCCCACAAGCACCCTCAAAAATCTCAACAAGCTTGAGCGAGCGTTCCTTTGGGAGGGAACAGACAAGACCACCGGGGCCAAATGCAAGGTTAATTGGGACACCGTTTGCCGCCCAATTGCCAATGGGGGTCTTGGAGTGCTAAACACGGAGAAATTCGCTAGGGCACTGAGGATTCGTTGGATTTGGTTTGAGTGGAAGGAGCCAACTAAGATGTGGGTTGGCATGGGCAACCCGTGCGATGACGCAGACTACAACTTCTTCTATGCCTCCTCAACTATTATCATGGGAAATGGCGCGCGCGCCCCCTTTTGGGATTCTCCGTGGGTGCACAACCGCAAACCCATGGATTTGGCCCCTCTCATCTACGCGGCGTCAACGAGGAAGAATTGGAAGGTGCGGGAAGCACTAAAGGATGGCGCTTGGGTTAAAAAGATCAAGATGACGTCCGATTTTTCTATAGAGCACTTCAGACAATTTCTCGAGCTTTGGGCCACCATCCGGGATTTTCACCTACAGGAGGATATTGACGACGACATTGTTTGGAAGCATTCTACTAGTGGCCTCTACACGGTGGAGTCCGCCTACAAAGCGCAATTTCTCGGCCTCATTTGCTCTCCCTTGGAGCATGCAGTGTGGAAAATCTGGGCTCCACCCAAGGTCAAGTTCTTTGCTTGGCTGGCCATCCAAAATAGAGTCTGGACTGCGGATCGATTGGCCAAGCGTGGTTGGCCTAACTGTGGCTCATGCCCCCTATGCATGCGTGAGAATGAATCGGTTGACCATCTCTTCTTCAAATGTCGTTTCACCGT